AAACTATCTTCGGTACATCATTAACCTCTTTAATATAAGACACAGAAAATGTTCCCTGATCTTCTAGCTGAATACTGTGTTGGGCAACTAATATTTTGTCATCAGTTCGAGCAGTACAATCTGACCTTAGCGTTAATATTCCTTGCTCAGGTAAATTCACTATTTCTATTTTCGAGTTGCTGCACTGAATTCTAGCTTTAGAATGGTTCTGAACCTTAAAAAGCCAACTGCTCTTCCTTTCTAACTCGACCCAATATGATTTACTCTCAATCACTGATTTATATTTGCAATCTGATTGCTTATATAGTTTGAGAGGCTTAAGCTCACAACTATTATCGTTAGCACCACTCCAAGGCCAACTTCCTTCACAAACCCTTTTATTAGATTGCCATCTTTGACACTTATTAATGGTTGGTTCTGTCATGAGGTGATAAGCATCTATTTCAAAATTGTAAACTAAGTACTGAGAATCGACATGTACTGTAATCATACGTTCGTCTAGCCTAACTGGTACTGGGATAAGCACTTTCCTGTGGAGGATACTCCACTGATCTCTGTTTGAGATCGAATTTTTTGTAATTTTATTTCTTGGCTGAATTGATATTCTTGTTGCTTTCTTATAACAATCTTTTCAGCTAGTTTTAACTTTTTTACAGATAGGTAGGAAGGATAGGATTCCTTTTTTATCTTGATTTGAATGAATCTATTTATGTATACTATTACTCGTATAATCTTTTCAATACTGGAAAACCTCTCCAGTAAATTATAAATAGGATTATCGGTTTTATTAATTAAAATTGGATTTATCAAAACAATTTCTCCTGTGGATTCCTGGTGAGGCCATTGCTCCTTTGGCTCAGATAACCACTTCGGACCTTTCCACCAAAGATCACAGTTAACCAATTGGCTAGAACTAATTCCCCTTGATGCTAAATCTGCAGGATTTTCTTCAGACTTCACATGATTCCATTCGGTATTCTTTATTTTACGAATGTCATCTGTTCTTCGTCTAATAAACTTGACCTTGCTAAACTTGACCATTGTTTATCCATGCTAAAGTGATAGTGGAATCACTCCAAGCGTAGATTTCCACTGTATTATCAATGGATTCATTAATTATTTTGATCAATCCACTAAGTAAATGAGCTGCACATAACTCTAGTTTGGGAATAGTTTTTCTATTTTTAATTGGATTGACCTTACTTTTGCTGGCTATTAGATTCACAGAATTTCATACCCTAGCATATACTACGGCTGCATATGCCTTTTCGGAAGCATCCGCAAATCCATGAAGTTGTATCTCCAAACAATTCTTAGAACTAATCCATCTTGGGATTCGAATCTTTTCTACAGATAACAAACTTTCTTTATAATTTTCCCAATAATCTTTGTCTTCCTTGGATAACTCCTGATCCCACTCACTTTTATTTATCCATAATTTTTGAATAAAAAGCTTTCCTAAAACAGTGACAGGAGCCACCCATCCTAGGGGATCATAAATTTTTGATAATGTCGATAACACTACCATTTTGTTAGTCTTTTTGGATTCCCCGCAATTTACTTTAAATTTAAATAAATCTTTTTGGGGTTCCCATTGAAGCCCAAGAGTTTTAACGCTTTCATTTTCCGTAATAGCAAGCACTTTGTTATCTCCTGTGTTCTCAACAGTTTGAGTTACTTTAAAATTGTTGGAAATCCATTTCCTTAAATTAAACCCTACCTTTTGTAGTCCTGTGAGATTAGTTTAATTAAATTGTTGGCATCTTCCACAGAATCAGCCCCAGTCATTAGGTCATCCATATAGAAATCATTCCTAATTATTTCACTCAAATATTTATTTTTACATTTATCAGCAATATCTACCAGAACTCTGATAGCTAAATATGGTGCGGATGCAGTACCATATGTGACTGTTGTCAATTTATAATTTTTTATTTTTTCATCTGGAGAGTTTCTCCATAAAATTTACTGGTATTGCTGATCCTCATCATCAATCTTTATTTGACGATACATTTTTTCAACATCCGCGGATACCACATATTCCCATTTTCTCCATTTAACGATAATGTCAAAAATATCCTTTTGAACTCGTGGACCAACCCACATTATATCGCTCAAACTTTTGTTATTAGTAGTTTTTGCTGAAGCGTCAAAAACTACTCTTAATTTGGTCGTCAAGCTCGAATCTCTGATCACGGCTTGGTGCGGTAAGAAATACTTACCTTCATTCTGCCCTTCGACTTTGTGGGCTGGGAGAGTCCTCATAAGTTTTGGGAGTACTAATGCTTCAACTTTTAAAATTTTTGGGAAGCATTACATTTAATTGAAAGATGAATTTTGTGCTTCGAGAAGCACTATCCTGTGGAGGATACTCTACTGATCTCTGTTTGAGATCGAATTTTTTGTAATTTTAGAATCTGCACAGATTCTTCAGAAATTATGGTGCTTTGAGAACCACTGTCAATCAAAGCTCTGAAATTTTCAAACCCTCCATTTGAGGATTTTATTTGAACGCATACTTGAGCAAGCAACGCCTGTTCGGATGTCCTGCAAGTGTTAACCTTTTCTAATTTTTGGTTAACGTTATAATTTATATGTAGCATGCTGTGGTGATTTTTCTTGCAAATAGAACATGAAATGTCGCTTTGACATTTTTTATTAAATGAGTGTTTCAGACATTTGAAACACAAATGGGCATATTTTACTTTTTCCATCCTTTCTGATGGATTTAAAGCCTTAAATTTCTGACACTGGAATATAAAATGTCCCGAAATTTTACATATGGGACAATTATTAGTAGTTCATCCTGAACTGAACTTATCGAACTTAGCCGTTGCTCTAAAAATTCAATGACGTCCGACAACGCTTGAATCTCTTTAGTTTTTTTATCATGGCTCTCATATAGTTGAAGAGTTTCTTACCTAATTATTATGTGTGCAAACATAATATCCACTTCATCAGAAAGTTGTGCCTTCAATTTTATCATATGTATTGACTCGTTAATCGTGTCAATAAATATTTTTAGTTGCCTAACTGAATCAACATTTACGATTTGAAGATCCAGAAGGCGGTTTAATTGATCGGAAAAAATTTTCCTTTTATTTTCGTACCGCTTGGTTAATAACTCCCAAGCGGCCTCATAATTCTCCCCAGATCCCAACAATAAGTGAGAAACTACATTTCTGGCTTCTCCCTTAAGTGAGATCTTAGGTAACTGAACTTAAAAGAAGGACTTAGATCCTCTCTCAAATGAATGAGTTCTTAAACAACTCATAAAACAGGTCCCAGTCTTTGGAATCTCCATAGAACGTGGGTACCTGAATTTTAGGTAACGTTGGCAAATTATCAATTTTATGATTTCCAACGTTAACCTTTCCGGGCAGAATTTGTTCGATTTTTTTTTTCATTGTGTTGGTTATTGACGAGATGTCGAACTCTTACTCGTTCAACTCCTCGTCATAACCCCTATCAGTGACATCTACTTGGTCGACTTGTTTTAGACCTACTATTCTTGTCCAATAAAATTCTAATTTCTGGACTTTAATTTCAAAAGTTGAAACATTATCTAGCTTAATGTCTTCAAAAGTTTATTTTAAGTAATCTCGTACCTGTTCTATTGCCCTATCTAATTTATTGACAACTTTAGAACTACTGGCCTCTAAGTCAACTTCGTCAGCCTATTTATCCTATCTTTTATATTTGAGAGATCTAACATCATTTTCTCATAATGGTTCTTCTTGAAGTAGTCATGATCGACTACTCCAATTTGAACCAAAACCGAATGATTTTGAACACATTCGGACCTTAATTCCTCATACTGTTTCAAATATTCGAATGAAGTCTAGGTAGCTCTCTAAGGGTATGAATTAGTTTTGTAATTTCTACTTGCCTTTTTATTAAGGCAATAGTTTCAGCGGACAACATGGTTTTGGCTTTAGTTTTGTATATGTATATATATATAAATTAATTGCTGTTCGTTAGTTTTGCTAAAACTCGAGAGCGTCTGAACGGATTTATCTTTTCTTAATATTAAAATGCTCTTAACTTATAAAAATAAATTTTAAGATTAACTTAGCTGGTGTCTTTGTTGTCGTCACTGCCGTTGTCGCCGTTGTAGTTGTTTTAGCTGATGCTGTTGTTGCTGATGCGCTTGTTGTTGCGGCTGTTGTTGCTGATGGTCATTGTTGCTGCTGCTGCCTTGTCCTTGTCTCTGTTGCCGATCCTGTTGTTGATCCTGCTGGCCTTCTTTCAGTTGTCGTCTCTTTGAGGGTTTACGTTGTTGTTTTTAAAGATGATTTAAGTTTTTTTTTTTTTTTTTAAATCTTTTTATTATTTATTTTTGAACAGTTAATATTGGGTTTTTTTTTTTTAACTTTAATATTTGTTTTTTGTCACTGATAGTTTAAATATATGTATATATATACTTTTTTTTTGCACTTTTTCGATGTGTGGCCTCGAATACGCCTGGTTTTAATTAATAACTTTTTTTCTTTCGTTCTTGTAAGGCCACGAAAACGCCTCAAAATCAAATTGTTCGATGACAATTTATTATATATTTTTTTTAATTTAACTTGTCGATTTCTCGACCACAATTTCACAAAAAATTTTTTATTTTTTTATTATTTTTGAAAATTGCTTTAAAATATAAGGACTTTTATTTGTCTTTATGCTTTTAAATTTATACTCTGTTTCTTACCATAAAGGGGAAAACAAGAGTCAATTAAGGTGCTGGCTTTCCTCTAAGTCTCTTACCACTGGTGGGGGAAAACTGTAGAGTTGCTCGTAGGACCAAAATGTTAAGGATAGTAAATAAATACAACCTTTTTTGATTGAGTTCTGTATTGAAACTCATTTTATTTAAAACTTCTTGACTAGAAACTTATGTGAAAATCTTATTCTAATCTTAGCTATGGTCTACGCAGAGACCTAATCTTTTTAGTCTGGGCGGGGAAGTTATTTATTTTGCCCCCCGCACAAGAACTCTCGGTGAAGGCACATCTGTGAGCGATAGTATTAGATAGCTCAAGTGGCATGACACTAGAATTTGTTTAAGATTTTCAAATGATTCTAGTTGCTTGGGTGATAACTTAATTTTAATTTTTCATGATTGATTTGCGCTGACTTTACCATTTTCGCCATTTAAGACTCCGTTAGGGGTTTTGCGATTGTGGCAACTCCTTTTAATCTATGATAGCGGCATAGACCCAAAAATGATCTTAGGCTATAAAGTGAAGGAGGTGCTTGGAAGGCTTCTTTTTCCTTTACTTTATCTGGGGACGTTGTAAGTCCTGTGCATGACACAATGAATCCCAAGAATTCTACACTCCTTTTGAAGAACTTCAACTTTTCCTGAGATACCCTCATGCCAGCTTCATATAAGCTTTTAAGAACCAAGTTTAGTTCCCTAATATGATCTTCTTTAGTTTTAGAGAAGATGATGACATCAACGACGTACACATAGCACGTCTTTGATATTTGTTCCCGTAGGACATCATCGATTGCCCGTTCGAAAATGCTGTGTGCATTCTTGAGTCCAAAAGTTAATCTACAGAACTCAAATCTACCGTTATTAACAAAGAAGGCGATTTTCTCCCTATCTATCTCTGCCAACTCGATTTGGTGAAAACCTGATTCAAGTGCAATGTTGTAAGATACTGGGCCTTTCCCATTTTTTCTTGTTGCCACTTCGTGTCCTTTTTTATCAATAACTCAAACGGGATCGTGATTTTCTGATTATACCGTTTGCTAGAAATTGTTTAACCTCTGCATTGACGACATCAGATACGCTCATTGGGTAAGTGTATAGCTTAGAAAACACGGGTTCCCCTTCAGAGCGGATAGTTGCTATCGTGTTTATATTATATGGTAAGGCTTGATAAGGGTCTGCGAATGCCCCAGCCCTCTTAGTGATCATTAAATTAAATGATTTTTTACCCACATTGGGGATATCCTTGTATTTAGCAAATTGCAAATCTTCCGATCCTGAATTATGTTCAATCCTAACGGTACTAAGGTCAATTCGAGCATTTAATTTCTTTAAATGATCTAGACCAACAATGCCATCGAATTCCTTAAGGTTTCCGAAAAAAAAAAATACGAATTTTCGTTAATTTTAAATTTTTTTTTAATTTTAGTGGAGCCATGGAGGGATGAGACCATAAAAGGTTCCTCCACGTTTTTTATGTGTGCCAGACCTGGCCAATGTTTAATATAGTTTTTCGATGCACCTATACGAAAGCACGGATTCCCCTCTAAAAAATTACAGTCTTCCGTTGGGAGTAAATCATTCTTGATTTCCTCTATATTGTCTTGAACCTGTATCTTATAATCTTCGGTGTATTCTTGTTCGTGAGTTGTGGTATTTACCTTTTGTCTGTTACTCGGGGAACTGCCCTTATATCCTTTGTAGGATTATTTTGTGAAAAGTTTGGGTGATTGTAAGAGGTATGCAGTAGAGGTGGAGAACTATCGGTGGCACTATCGCCACTATCGATGGTTTAGCACTATCGAGCCACCATCGATGGCAGCAGACACCTTCGATACTGGCCCATCCACTATCGATGGTGCCATCGATAGTGCGCTTCTTACATCCCTAAAAAATTTGTTCGCGCATTTTCCGTGTCGGCGTCAAATGCAAAAACGAGGAAAAATTTAAAAACAAGAAACAATTAGTTAAATTAATATGGATCGCTTTTTAAATATGTGTATGTTTACTATATTATATACGTAAGTGTTTTGATCTATAATTTGTTAAATTTAAGGTAAACGTCGAGTGTCTTCATCAAGTGCCGACAAGCCGGACTGTGAGTGCTCCTCCAGCACAGACTCTGAAAAAGATTTGGAACCAAATCAACAGAGTAACAAAAAGAAGTCGAAAATTTCACATGTTTGGAAATATTTTAAAAGGTCTGACGACAAGAAATATGCCAAATGTCTCGATTGTGGCAAAGAATACAAGACAAGCGGCAATACATCTAACTTGCACGACCATTTAAAAAGGTTCCATCCTGGCGTGGAAAGAAAGAGCCCAGAATCGAGCACACAAGTTGTACGTGCTGAGAGGAACGTCACTATATCTACAAGCAGCAGTTGCAGATCGAGCATGAACACTGTGGCGTCTTACTTTAAAAGAGCCGTCATGTATGATTCAAATTCTAAAAGAAAGACTGACATAGATAAAGCTCTAACTGAAATGGTTGCCAAAGATGTGTTGGATCCTCGGTATAAATTACCCAGCAAGACGCACTTAAGAGATGTGCTGATGTATAATTATTTTACCGAAACTTCTGCCAAGTTATCAGCAATCCTTGTAAATGTTTCGAATATCGCAGTTACGTGTGATTTGTGGACATCAAGTGCCAATGCTAGTTTTTTGACTGTGACGGGTCATTTCGTATATAACTACGAATTAAAAACAGCATCCTTAGCAACAAAAAAACTTCTAAGCATAACTAATCATTGTTCACAAAACATTGCTGATACATTGCGGGACATTTTTATTGAATGGAACATTCTGGAAAAAACTGTATGTATTGTTACCGACAATGCCAGCTCCATGCTTAAAGCATGTGATCTATTGCATATTCGCAATCTGCCATGCTTTGCGCATACTATAAATCTCGTGGTGCAAGATGCTCTAAAAGTTGATGACCCAGTGCTTCAAGCTTTATTTACTAAGTGTAAATCAATCGTTCGATTTTTCAAGCAAAACACTATATCAAATGAAAAGCTCAAATTAGCTCAAGAAGGCTCAGAATATACTTTGTTGCAAGAAACGCCCACTAGGTGGAATAGTTTTTATTTTATGATTGAGCGTATTATAAAAATGAACGTTGCCATTGCCAAAGTTTTACAATCAACAACGAATGCACCGCAGCCATTTACTGCTGAGGAAATACTTATGCTGAAAGATATTGCTGATTATTCCCATGACATATGGACTTTTTCGGAAAATCGAAAGTGTTGTACCTTTACTACAAACTCTTCAAGGAAAAACTTTAAACAAAATATTGATGGAATCAATCAAGCAACGTCTTTCCGTATATGAGCAGAGAACAGTCTGCAGGATGGCTACGCTTTTGGATCCACGGTTCAAAAAAAATGGATTTCAACATAGCTCAAACGCTGAACAAGCAGCAAAATGTTTTGAAAATGAGCTGGCCAATTTTCCAGTTAAAGAGACCGCAAGTAATCAACCCGCAGCACCGGATTCAAGTTTACAGGATACTTTGTTCGATTTTTTGGGTGAGCGTTCCATGAATAAATTTGTAAACTCAAGAGTCGATGCAATTTTAACTAAGAGGCAGTATCTGGAAAGGGCAATTGTCGGACAAGATATCGACCCTCTATTATGGATGAAGGTATGCCTTAATTAAAAGTGCCGAGTTATTAATTGCATATAATTAAGTATATTACTTTTTTCCAGGTGAATCAAACTGATTTCCCTGCCATTTTGAGCCTTTTCGCCAAATATCTTTGCATTCCGGCTACGTCCGTGGAGTCTGAAAGAACATTCAGCAAGGCGGGCCAAATAATATCGGAGAGGCGAACCCGGCTCAAAGAAAAAAATTTTAACATTCTTTTGTTTTTAAATCGTAACTCTTGGCTGAAATAAAGAATATTTTATTGTATTCGTTTCATTTTTTTTTTTAAATCGTAACTTAGTTAAAATAAAGCATATTTTTATATTTGCTTAAAAAATTTTTTTTTGTTGGGCTACACTATCGAGCCACTATCGATGGCACTATCGACACTATCGATGGTTTAAAATAAACTATCGTCGACTATCGATGGCGCCCACTATCGATAGTTCTCCACCTCTAGTATGCAGTGCTTCTCTGTTGTATTTTTCGTTCAGGACTGTCGCATCTGCAGTATCATGAGACATCAGCGTTTTGTTTGTTAACAAAGTTTTTTTTTTTGATTTCATTTAAATACTTTGCCAAGGGCAATAAGGTTAAGTTCTTGTTGTATCATCTGTATTGACGTCTTATCCACATAGGTAAAGTCTAATCTGGCTATGATAGCTCTAAAATTTAAAACAGTATTAAAGCAGGTTGGGACGGCGTCAGCCGATCCTCCCACTTTGTGCCCTATAATAGCTACTGCTTGACAGAGTTTTAAACTACCTTCAATTGGTTTAAATACCTAATATGCCACTGTGGCTGTTTGTCACCACGAAATATATTGTTTCTGCTTGCCGTCATGTTCCGGCAAAGACTTCATGATGTCTAAAGGTTGATCGCATTGTTCCTTCTATTATAGAGATTTGTTCATACACTTCTACTGTGGGTGGCGTGACTTTTAACACATTTATTTGTTTAGAGAGTTATTTAATTTCGAATTACGGACTTTGTTGATTAAGTGCTGTCTGTACAGCTACCTCAAACAATTGGTTCAATTGATCGGTCGACATTTTATGCTCTGTATCTTTTGTGACAATAAACTTCTTGTACGTTTTTAATAGCTCCTCATTTTTTTAATATCTTATATTCTGTGGTTTCCTCGCTGCTATCTGGATCTGATTTCCTATCTCTCCACCGCGAGAATATTGTTTTTTTCTCAGAATTTGACACAGATTTTTGTGCACAAAAAAAATTTAGTTTGCAATTGACAGATAAGACGAATAGAAATTATTTATTTTTGTATTTGATTTATAAGCAAAAATGTTGTATTCTCAATATAATAACTTTTTTAAGTAATCTGAATATTTTTATAAAAATGTTAACTCTCAAGGAAAGTCCGAATATTTTAAATGGTTTCACGAAAAGTTCACTTACATGATTTCCGTTAAAGACTCTAATTTTCCTTCTTAAGGATATTGCAATCCACCAGGTCTTGTTTCCTTGAAGATTGGTTTATTGACTTCATAAAAAAAAAATATTGACAAAGGTCAGAGGCAGAGTGCCGATTAAAAAAACTTAAATTTAAATAATAAATGAAACATTATCTGGCAGTGGTCAGAGGTAGAGTGCCGTTGAAAATTTGAAATTTAAATAATAAATAAGACATTATCTGCCAGTGATCAGGGGCGGTGTGCGGATAAATATATTGTAAAAAAAGCATGTTTAATATAAAAATATATATATATATATTTGTTTTCAGGTGCAGAATTAATTTGAGATGGCTGAGAGTATCATAAAATCTTTCCTTTGCAAAAATCTGGAAAAGTCCGTACTCCCAAGGGAATGGAAGAACTGACTTCGAGCTTTCCAAATATATCTGGAGGTTAAAGACGTCCAATCGGTAACCGAGGAGAGGAGGACAAAGTTGCTACATTTGATTGGCACGCAATTAGAAACGGTTGCATATGCACTTCCCGGTGCTAAAGTCGAGTTCAACGAGGAGGAGGAAAATTACGTATTTTCGACATTGGTCGAACAACATACTTCTCACCTTAACAAAATTCGACATTTGAGAGACACCTTTTCAGGAAAATATCTCCTGAAGAGTGCGAAGTTTTTGGGAAATTCATTTAACGACATCGCCATCAGCTAAAAAATGAAGTTTCTTCAAAGAAATATCTTTGAAGGATAAAATTATTGATACTTGGGCTAGTCCGGAACTAAAAAAGAAAATTCTTGCCAGGTCGACGAAGAAATTATTAAGCAATCACAGACAATGCTATCGAAGCCGTTTTCAGACACAATTAATCAAAGTTCCAATTGGAAATCGCGGCCAACCAGTCAAAATTATTGTGGAAGATGTGAACGGTCAGGTCATAAGGAGGATAGTGTAATCGATGTTCCCGCAGGGCCATCTTGCCCGGAAATGCCGTACTGTTTTAAAACGTGCATACCCACAGTCGTATGATGGAAAGAACGAAAGTTTCAAAAGAAGAAACGTACGGTTGGTTTAAGACGGCAACCACGAGGGAAAGGAAATTAGTCGAGAAACCTGTTTAAAAATAAATAGTGACGAGGAATACGAAGAATGGATTAAATGTAGAATTGGTGGTGAAGATGTTGCCATGATAATCGATTCCGGGCCCCGTTTAAATCTTATTTCTCAGCACGATTGGTTTAATCTCCAGGCGAAAAAACCGACTGTTTTCAATTTAAAGGATACGCTTCGTTCACAATTTTTAATGTCATTTGTATTTTTGAGGCACCAATAGCAGTCAAGCCAAGCTCGGAGTTGTTTGCATCTTTTTCGTATCTGAGGAAGGACGACAATCGCTACTTGGACAGGAAAAAGCAACAAAGTTGTATGTTCTGCGGATGGGCTTACCAATAAATCACATTGAAATAGTAACACCTATCCCTAAGTGGAAAGATGTTACCGTGAAACTGTCAATAGATCCTTATGTTGTCCTTAAATAGTTATTGCTTTTAAAAAAAACGGGAACATTCGACCGTGTTTGGAAATGCGGCAGGCCAACCGAGCGATTTTTAGAGAAAATTACCGTTTGCCTACGTTTGAGTCTTCTATGACTAAGTTGGGAGACGCTAAATTCTTTTCACATTGGATCTCACGGACGTGTACCATCAATTGGAGCTGAGGAATCAAGTCGACAGATCACAACATTCATTACGCCCCGAGGGTTTTTCAGATATAAACGGCTGATGAACTCTAGGAACTCCGCACTTTCAAATAAACTATACCCTTTCCGACATGAGTTGTCAACAATTATGCTAAGAGGAGTTCGCATAGTCATTCCGTAAACCCTAAAACGATCGGTGTTGGTACTGGCGAATCCACCCTGACGAATCGGCAATGAAGCGGCGACTGTGCTTTACGGCATGGTGGCCCCAAATCGACAGGGATACCGACTAACGAATACATCTTAGTTTTAATAGATTATTACTCGAGTTATATGGAGTTTAAGTTCTTGCGCTCAATCATATCTGAATCGTTAATTGAAGCGTGTATGGAATATTTTACCAGGTTAGGATACCCAAGGGAGTTGCGGACTGATAATGGTCGTCAGTATGTTAGTGTTGAGTTTCGAAACTTTTGCAAATCATGTGCACCTGAGCAAATAACAATGGCGAGGTGGAAAACATGAATAGAGCTTTATTGAAGAGTCTAAAGATAGCCCATCAACGCAAAAAAATGTAGTCCCTCATGGGACTACAGGCACGGATCCAACAGAACTGATGTTTAATAGATTCGAGATAAGATTACGAGAATACAAGATTCAGTAGAAAACAAGAAAGAAAGCAAACTTGGCAAAGTTCATATACCCTTGCAGCTATTGCAAGAATTAAACATTTTTGAAAACATTAAAATTATGATTTACTTGCGTATATGTTTAAAGACATTGAAGCTATGATGATTTGCAGCTCACTAATTAGATAGTTTTTTTTATGTATTTTTATTATTTCTATGGGAGCTATATGATATAGTCGTCTGATTTTTATGAAATTTAAACCGTTTTTCTAAAATATTTAACCATTACTATATGTCGGAGAACTAAAAAAAAAATTAAAAAAGAACAAAGATATAATTTATTTTGTATTTTTTTCCGAGCTATATGATATAGTCGTCCGATTTTGATGAAATTTGAACCGTAATTCTGAAATATTTAACCATTACTATATGTCGAGAACTAAAAAAAAAAATTAAAAAACAGCAAAGTTATAATATTTTTTTATTATTTTTTTCGATTGTTCCTATGGGAGCTATATGCTATAGTCGCCCGATCCGGCTCGGGAAAGTTTTATGCAGATAGCTTTAAAACTGAGAGAAATGTCTCCTTCACTGCGTTGCAAACTTCTGACTGAAATTATAATACCCTCACAGTTCTCAATATAATTAGTTTTAGTTTGATTTTTGCACTCGCCGCGGAAGGAGAGTGAAAAAGGAACATTTGTAAAATACGATTTAACCCGATGTATTGAGTTGTTACAGTGGTTTTTAATGAGGGTCTTGTTTACCATAACGTAGTCGTCGAAGGTTACCGGATATGTGCCCCTAGGAAGGTTTTTAGGGCTGTCGTCGTCTTGAAGTTTCGCAGCAGTATCGTTAATAATTAGTATTCCGTTGTCGATTGTTGTTATTTGACTAATTCTGGTGCACATGTAGGGGAATCAGATTTTCTGCAGAACGTTCCAATAAAAGCGTCACACTGGTGGATGGCAACCGACTTTTAAAAAAATCAGCGATTAAGTTGTCCTCCCTAAAGTCTAGAAACCTATTACTATGTTGTAGTGGGTATATAGAAGATTTTCTTACATACTAAATAAGGTTTGGGGTATTTTATGAGGAAGTGTGTTACATAATTATTTTGACATGCTTTTATCTGGGATACTTCTAAAAGATCGGAAATGCTAAAATTTGTGAGTCTTTCTTGATTAATTTCCTTGATATCAAATTCATCCAGAATTGCTGGGTTTATTTAAGTTTGATCCCAGTCAAGGAAGTCTGAGTTACCTGCAATTTCTTTTAGGGCTGATCCTAATATGTTAATCCTGCGAGCATTCTTATGATGAACTTTAAAGAATCTATCCGTCCGTCGTCCACAGTCAATATTCGTCTTATGTGATCCTTTGTAAAAGCGTCAATTGTAATCAATTGTAAAGTTCATATGAAGTAATATTAGTGCAGTGTCCGAGATACCCAAATTCCTCCCAGATTGTGACGTCTCCAT